GTGGACACACAGTGTAAGGGTTTAAATGTGCGGATTATATACAGGCAAGTGTATGTAACAGTGTCCGGATGGACCTTTTCCGGATTGAAAAGCTGCTTTGAGATGTGTCAGTGGAAGTGGAGAAGCTACCTGGTCCTCAGGTGACAGGTTGCAACTGAGTTCAGGTTGGGAGACAGTATGAAATACAGATATCAGTGCTAGGCTTTATTTCTATTGCTAGGCCCGTTAGGGAGCACAGGAAACCCACACATCATGGAGAGCTCTCCATAGAATTATTTAGCAAGCTACCTTACACCAAGTCTGGACACTGGTCCATCTAGTTCAGTATTGTCTACACTGACTGTCAGCCGCTCCCCAGAATTACACATGGGGGTCTCTGCTAGACCTACCCATACCCCTCAACAGTCTGAATGGCCACGATTCTCCTAAAGTCATCACGGTTTCTGCCTTGCTGCCGTGGTGCCCTGATTTATTCTGGCCAGAAGACAGCGCTGAGAAGGAGGCATGAGGGCTCCTTCCCAAAACCTAGTTAGCAGCAAGAGAAATGTTGAGAACAGAGATGCTCCTTGTACATCACCTTTATACACTTGGTGAAGACATTTTAACCTCATCAGCTGAAAAGGACTATTCACTCTGCTCAGCAAGAGAGGATGCCCACCTAAGCTTCACAAGATGATCCTGTCCTTTCATGAGAACATACATGGTACCATCCAGTATGATGGTTTACCCTCAGATACCTTCTCTAAAGGGACGTGGGTGGTGCTGTGGGTTAAACCACAGAGCCTAGGGCTTGCTGATCAGAAGGTCAGCGGTTCAAATCCCCGCGACAGGATGAGCTCCCGTTGCTCGGACCCAGCTCCTGCCAGTCTAGCAGTTCGAAAGCGTAAGTGCAAGTAGATAAATAGGTACCACTGCAGTGGGAAGGTAAACGGTGTTTCCATGCATTGCTCTGGTTCGCCAGAAGCGGCTTAGTCATGCTGGCCACATGACCTGGAAGCTGTACGCCGGCTCCCTCGGCCAATAAAGCGAGATGAGCGCCGCAACCCTAGAGTCGTCCACAACTGGACCTAATGGTCAGGGGTCCCTTTACCTTTACCTTCTCTAAAAAGAGCAGTGTGAAACAGAGCTGTGTTTTTACCCAACTCTCTCTGACATATTCTTCTCCCTGTTGCTCTCAGTTAAGCACACCAGCTTAACTGAATGCAGGGTGCAGTTTCATTCAAGGAGTGACAGGGATTTGTTCAACCTGGCACATCTCCAAGCCAAGACAAAAGTGTGGCAGGTTCTTATCTGCAATAAGATGATGCAGCATTGACAGCGCATTCCGAAGAAACTCTACAATGACTCAACAATTGTTTTGCCCAAGACTGCATGGAGTTTGGCCTCACCATCATCTTACAAAGACCAACATCTTGGGTCAGAACATCACTAGCACTCCATGCATCAGCTTTGGTGACTGCATGCTTGAGACAATAAACAATTTTATCTACATGGGCTCCACCATAACCAGCAACCTTTCCATTGAGACTGAGCTGGACAAGTGTACTGGCAAGGCAGCTATGCCAATAACTCATCTCTCTGAAAGGGTATGGGAGAATGTGATGCTCACATCCAATACCAAGATGGTCTACAAGGCTTGTGTGTTGAGCATGCCACGTTATGGAAGTGAGGCATGGGTAAGTTACACCCGTCAGGAGCGACACCTCAATGCCTTCCTTATGTGCTCTGTCAGGAAGATTTGTGGCAACCCATGGCAGGACAGGGTCTCAAACAAACATGGACTCTCCCAAGCCCACATTCCCAGCAGGTTCGCATTCCTGTCTCGGGGATGTCTACGCTGACTTGGTCAAGTCCACAGAATGGAAGATGGTAGGATCCCCAAGGATGTGCTTTACAGGGAGCTGGCTTCAGGTACCAGGCTTGTTGGTATACCAACTCTGTGTCACAAAGATGGCTGCAAACGTGATATGAAGGCTGGCAACATTAACCCTGCCATGTGGGAATCCCTTGTAGATGACCACAGTGCCTGAAGACAGGCTGCACATCCACAGCTGTGACCAGAAATGACATCTGGGTGGAGCACAAAGAGAAGAAATGTCATGGTGCACCTGTAACAGCAGACTAGATGCCTTCATCTTCCCCAGCTGCAATAAAACATGCCTCTCCTGTATCGGTCTATACAGACACGTTGTTGTTGTTTAGTTGTTTAGTCGCATCCGACTCTTCGTAACCTCATGGACCATAGCACACCAGGCACTCCTGTCTTCCACTGCCTCCCGCAGTTTGGTCAAACTCATGTTTGTAGCTTCGAGAACACTGTCCAACCATCTCGTCCTCTGTCATCCCCTTCTCCTTGTGCCCTCAATCTTTCCCAACATCAGGGTCTTTTCCAGGGAGTCTTCTCCTCTCATGAGGTGGCCAAAGTATTGGAGCCTCAACTTCATGATCTGTCCTTCCAGTGAGCACTCAGGGCTGATTTCCTTAAGAATGGATATGTTTGATCTTCTTGCAGTCCATGGGACTCTCAAGAGTCTCCTCCAGCACCATAATTCAAAATACAGACACAGCAGGCACTATAACACTCCAATGTTTTGACTTTATGCCAGATGCCACACTCTTCCATTGTCTCTCAAGACAGACAAATGACAACATTAATATATGAGCAGTGCACTGACCCTCTTTGCATGGATGAATTTCATACCCAAGTGTTTTTGACTTAAGTGATGTTTTTGAGAGATGTACATACTGGCAGGAAACTACAGTGCTAAGCTGTCCTGCATGGCGATTCCTCTCTGTCTGTAATACAAGAAGAGTGAGATTGATTACCCCCTTTTTGCTGACTGACCATATCCCTAATTTCATATCTCCTCTGTTAAACTCTACTTCAGCCAGTTTAGTGAAAGGTGCTTTTTTTGAAACAGAAGTAGAACACTCCATATTTTAAGGAGGCACATATTGATTTGCTTGAGGGCAAAACTGGTTGTGATGTTAAGTGCTTATTTGCCTTCAACATGAACTTTTAAAAAATGCAAGTAGCTTCTGTGGCGTGAAAGTGGGACGCTGATAAGGATGAGGATCTCTGCAGGTGGGGCAGGGGAATTTAACCCTTTCCTTCCCTCTATAGTGTTATTATCTGGAAAACTGCTCTTTCGGAAGCAATTTGCATTGAGAGGAACTCCCCCCTTGAAACAGCCCTGGCTACCCTTCAAAAATCCTGGAAGGTTAGTTTGTTAAGAGTGTTGAGGGTTGCGAGGAAATTCTCTTCACAGAGCTACAGTTCTCAGAGTTCCTGGGAAGAGAAATTGTTTGTTAAACCACTCTGGCACTCATCATGGTGTCCTGTTGTGCCAGAAGCGGTTTAATCATGCTGGCCACATGACCCAGAAAGCTGTCTGTGGACAAACACTGGCTCCCTTGGCCTGAAGTGAGATGAGCGCTGCACTCCATAGTCAAATTTGACTGGACTTAACCGTCCAGGGGTCCTTTACCTTTACCTTAACACCTTTTGGAAAGTTTGGAGGCAGGCTGCCACAGTGTTAACTACTGTCGGATTTATTTCCACTTCTCTGCCAGATGGAACTCTTTCCTCAACTTGTGTATTGTATTGCATTTGAACATGATGGAGGGCTCAAGCCACTGAGCAATCTTTAAGTGACATGGCGGGGTGTGGTAGAAGTGCGCCACAACATTTCACTGGCAGGTCAATATTTCCCCTGTCTTTTCTTGTATTTCTTACTCTCCAACAACTAATTTCCCATTCTTTCACAGCACTGTGGCAGCTCTTGTTAGAGTATGATCCATGACAGCTACACAAAATTAATTATTTGCTATGGTAGTCTGCCTCATTTGAAAGGTTTCTTTATTAAGTGCAATTGTATATATAAAATTACGGCAGTGTGTGGCCCCAAGCTCTTAATTAATATTGGTTTGGGCACACTGCGTAGTCATCCTAGCAGAATTGTTCATCTCCGTTTTGCCATACACACCCACTCCATAGGAAGTATGGGGAGATGCATTTCCCAAAGTGTTACTGTGCCTCTTGCAACAATTTGAAACCTTGTTTTCTTTGGTTTCATTATATCTTAAGAGCAATGGTCCATGGCTTAGCATTTTGAGAATCCATTTACCATAGATAACCTGCAGTCATTAGACCTAGTTACATCATGTTACTGACATGCCCTCAACCTCAAAATTGGCTCTGGGGAGTCTGGAGAATCCCCAGAACAGTACATGTAGTGAGGAGAGGGGAGATCATTCTGTGGAGCAAGCTGAAATGTTTGTGCTGGAATGACCAGAAGAGTGTCATGTTGATTGTGTGGCCTCCTATTTTCCATGGAAATAAGGATCATATAAATGTAATAGTATGCTAGATAAAATAAAGACATCTGCAATGCTTCAGTTACTCTTCTTATCCTTCCATGCAACTGAGTCTTGAAAGGAGCTCTCTCTTTCTCTAGTAGTGCAGCACTTGCAAAGCTGCTCTTCTCTATGCTGTTAATAGTAATGCTAAGCATCATCTGGCCAAAGTTAAGTGATTCTAAGCCCCATTGATTTCTATTGAAAAGATTTAAGCACAGGCTTATTCTCCCATTGAAACCAACAAGGCTTAGTAGTACTAAACTGAGATTGGATCAGGTCCACAAAATCAAAAACCTCAGCGAAGGTAGGTAACTAGAGGCAGAGGCAGCTTTGCACGTTCATATAGATCTGCCTCTACAATAGCAATTTATTTCCCAAAGTGATGCTGTACCCAGTGAATTGGTTTTGTCTCTTGAATGAGAAGATGTTGATGGGACTTTTAAATGGAGGAAACTGGATGCATGCTGAGACTGAGGCGCAATAAATCTTCAGTGTAGAGATGTGGTGCTTTTCCTACTTCTTTGGCACCATTTCTCCACATTAAAGAGACAGCATTGAAATGAACATCATTTGAGTGTTTCACTGTATTAGAAATGCAATTTGCTGTATCAAATGTAAGGAATTCAGAATTCTAGTGAACTGTAAATCACTAGAAGCTCTTAAAAACCAAAGGCAGGTTCCTTCTCAAGGTGACTTTGTTAATGATTAACAAAGTCACCTTGAGAAGGAACCTGCCTTTGGTTTTTAAGAGCTTCTAGTGATTTACAGTTCACTAGAATTCTGAATTCCTTACATTTGATACAGCAAATTGCATTTCTAATACAGTGAAACACTCAAATGATGTTCATTTCAATGCTGTCTCTTTAATGTGGAGAAATGGTGCCAAAGAAGTAGGAAAAGCACCACATCTCTACACTGAAGATTTATTGCCCCTCAATCACAGCATGCATCCAGTTTCCTCCATTTAAAAGTCCCATCAACATCTTCTCATTCAAGAGACAAAACCAATTCACTGGGTACAGCATCACTTTGGGAAATAAATTGCTATTGTAGAGGCAGATCTATATGAACGTGCAAAGCTGCCTCTGCCTCTAGTTACCTACCTTCGCTGAGATTTTTTATTTTGTGGACCTGATCCAATCTCAGTTTAGTACTACTAAGCCTTGTTGGTTTCAATGGGAGAATAAGCCTGTGCTTAAATCTTTTCAGTAGAAATCAATGGGGCTTAGAATCACTTAACTTTGGCCAGATGATGCTTAGCATTGCTATTAACAGCATAGAGAAGAGCAGCTGCACTACTAGAGAAAGAGAGAGCTCCTTTCAAGACTCAGTTGCATGGAAGGATAACAAGAAAAGTAACTGAAGCATTGCAGATGTATTTATTTTATCTAGCATACTATTACATTTATACGATCCTTATTTCCATGGGAAATAGGAGGCCACACAATCAACATGACACTCTTCTGGTCATTCCAGCACAAACATTTCAGCTTGCTCCACAGAATGATCTCCCCTCTCCTCACTACATGTACTGTTCTGGGGATTCTCCAGACTCCCCAGAGCCAATTTTGAGGTTGAGGGCATGTCAGTAACATGATGTAACTAGGTCTAATGACTGCAGGTTATCTATGGTAAATGGGTTCTCACAATGCTAAGGCATGGACCATTGCTCTTAAGATATAATGAAACCAAAGAAAACAAGGTTTCAAATTGTTGCAAAAGGCACAATAACACTTTGGGAAATGCATCTCCCCATACTTCCTAGGGAGTGGGTGTGTATGGCAAAACGGAGATGAACAATTCTGCTAGGATGACTACACAGTGTGCCCAAACCAATATTAATTAAGAGCTTGGGGCCACACACTGCCGTAATTTTATATATACAATTGCACTTAATAAAGAAACCTTTCAAATGAGGCAGACTACCATAGCAAATAATTAATTCTGTGTAGCTGTCATGGATCATACTCTAACAAGAGCTGCCACAGTGCTGTGAAAGAATGGGAAATTAGTCGTTGGAGAGCAAGAAATACAAGAAAAGACAGGGGAAATATTGACCTGCCAGTGAAATGTTGTGGCGCACTTCTACCACACCCCGCCATGTCACTTAAAGATTGCTCAGTGGCTTGAGCCCTCCATCATGTTCAAATGCAATACAATACACAAGTTGAGGAAAGAGTTCCATCTGGCAGAGAAGTGGAAATAAATCCGACAGTAGTTAACACTGTGGCAGCCTGCCTCCAAACTTTCCAAAAGGTGTTAAGGTAAAGGTAAAGGACCCCTGGACGGTTAAGTCCAGTCAAACTTGACTATGGAGTGCAGTGCTCATCTCACTTCAGGCCAAGGGAGCCGGTGTTTGTCCACAGACAGCTTTCTGGGTCATGTGGCCAGCATGATTAAACCACTTCTGGCACAACAGGACACCATGATGAGTGCCAGAGTGGTTTAACAAACAATTTCTCTTCCCAGGAACTCTGTTTTGTTTTTTTAAAGATATTTATTGAGATTTTCAAAATGTTACAAAAAAGAGAAAAAATAAAATAAAAGCAGAAGAGAGTACAAAGGATAAAAATAATTACCAAAATAGAAAAAGAAAGGGGGGGGGAACCAACCCCTTCCCACCATATACAAAAAAATTCCAAATGAGAAAAAATGACAGAAAAAAAGGAAAAAAGAGGAATGCAAAAATCACAAAACTTTAAAAACATTTAAAAACAAATTCATTATTTTCAAATCCTTAACTGTCATTACCTTCTTTCCTAGACCTCCTCCTCCCTTTCTTTGTATCCTAGTTATTAATTATCCCAGCAAATCCTTGACCTTATCTTTCTATAATAAAATAAACCTTAAAACTTAAAACTTAAATCTTATCCTTACCAACTTCTCATGATCATAATATTGTTTCATAATTCTTTGAACATCTTTGCTAAAGCCAAGTAATTTCATTCCAACATTTTCTATCATTCATCAATTTTATAAAACAGTTCTAATGGTTGAAAAAGAGGTATAAACAGATCCAATCTTCATCCAGCGTCCCTTCCTCCTGGTTCCGGGTTTTGTCAGTCCATATTCCCGTCAATCTAGCCCATTAACCTGGCAACCTTATGTCCGAGGCCCTCAAGTCTCTTCCATGACCCTTTCACGGCTCTTCTTCATATTTGTAACTATTTTCCCTTGTCTCCTGCTCGTGGTAACTCCAGCTTGACAATGTTTTTAACCCTTCTCAACAGATCAGCCCCTTTTCCATGTTCAACAATGAATTCCATGTAGTATTTAAAAGCATGTTTCAAAGGCCCTCCAAAATTGAGAGCCCGCACAGTCCCAAACATCTCACGGCCCGTTGCCATATTTGAAAAGTCCAAACATCCCAGCATAGGGGGGTCAATCCAGCCCCCCATTTCCAAACCAAGCCAAACTTTTCCTTTCCAGATATGGCTTTTTCCAAGTTCATTTGTCAAATCCAGAAACTCATATTCCTGTTGGGCCTGTTCTGTCAAAACACACTCCTGATTTAATGTCAAAAACTCCTGTTCTGTCAAGACACACTCCTGATTTAAATCCTGAGTGGGCTCCACATATTTTCCCACTGTCTGTTCAAAGTTTCCCACTGCCTGTTCAAAATTTCTAGTCGAAGTCGCCATCCAATTCACCTTCTCATGTAATTGTTCCAGTAGATCGTTTGTTTTATAGAGAGCATACAACAAGGCTTCTGAATACATTGTCCTACAAGGTCAGATACTTGTTCCCACGGTTGTAATCTGTAACAGCTGTCGACTCCCTGGAGTTAGTTACAGTTTCACAGTTACAATTTCACAGACTCCCCCTAGGGGGAAGACTTCTATTTATTCTTGCAACAAAGTTTCCTTTTTAAGATACTTTGTCCATATATAATCCTTTAAAATGCGAAAGGAACAGTGGAATCACTAGGTTTCTCTTCTTTTAGCCATCTGTCAAAAACACTTGTCTTTGGTTAATGAACTTCACACGTCAGTCCTGACAGCCCGCTCCAGGATCAGGACGGAGGAAAGTTACTTCACTTTAAAGTCACTTAAAACAGTCCAAAAAGATCCCCCCCTTCTCCTGCTGTCGAAGGGGGGTTCCACAATTTTAAATGGTGAAATCCAATCTTTTAAAAACGATTTCCTGAGCTCTAGTTTAAATTGCCTTTGCTTTATTCTGTTTACAAAAGAACGGAAGGATGACTTCCTGTTTAGACCTTCCCGTTCCGTACCAAATTCAAGTAAATTTTTAAAGTCCGATTCTTTCCTACTCGCAAGTCCTTATTTAATGTCCAATTGTTCAAAGTCTAAGTACTCACGGGTGCTTATTTTAAAGTCCAAATTGTCCCAGGAAAAAGGCAGTGCTCTCCGGCAACAGCTATGCGGCTTCGCTCCACGGAAATAGCAGTTGACTCACAGCACCGCGCCACTTCGGAGCCCGTTAGTGGGTTCCTTAGCGGGTTGGGGGGGCGCTAAAGGTGCCCGCCGAGTCCCATGGTCACAGGCTTCATCCGCCTGTGATTTTTAAGTGGGTCTCCGCTTCGCCGTAGCGGAAAAGACCCGTTTTCCGCGGAGCTAGTCCCTCCAGTTCAGAGGGAGTCTGCCATTGCCGGTGGCGCCACCCCGGAAGTCTCTTCCCAGGAACTCTGAGAACTGTAGCTCTGTGAAGAGAATTTCCTCGCTACCCTCAACACTCTTAACAAACTAACCTTCCAGGATTTTTGAAGGGTAGCCAGGGCTGTTTCAAGGGGGGAGTTCCTCTCAATGCAAATTGCTTCCGAAAGAGCAATTTTCCAGATAATAACACTATAGAGGGAAGGAAAGGGTTAAATTCCCCTGCCCCACCTGCAGAGATCCTCATCCTTATCAGCTTCCCACTTTCACCCCACAGAAGCTACTTGCATTTTTTAAAAGTTCATGTTGAAGGCAAATAAGCACTTAACATCACAACTAGTTTTGCCCTCAAACAAATCAATATGTGCCTCCTTAAAATATGGAGTGTTCTACTTCTGTTTCAAAAAATGCACCTTTCACTAAACTGGCTGAAGTAGAGTTTAACAGAGGAGATATGAAATTAGGGATATGGTCAGTCAGCAAAAAGGGGGTAATCAATCTCACTCTTCTTGTATTACAGACAGAGAGGAATCGCCATGCAGGACAGCTTAGCACTGTAGTTTCCTGCCAGTATGTACATCTCTCAAAAACATCACTTAAGTCAAAAACACTTGGGTATGAAATTCACCCATGCAAAGAGGGTCAGTGCACTGCTCATATATTAATGTTGTCATTTGTCTGTCTTGAGAGACAATGGAAGAGTGTGGCATCTGGCATAAAGTCAAAACATTGGAGTGTTATAGTGCCTGCTGTGTCTGTATTTTGAATTATGGTGCTGGAGGAGACTCTTGAGAGTCCCATGGACTGCAAGAAGATCAAACATATCCATTCTTAAGGAAATCAGCCCTGAGTGCTCACTGGAAGGACAGATCATGAAGTTGAGGCTCCAATACTTTGGCCACCTCATGAGAGGAGAAGACTCCCTGGAAAAGACCCTGATGTTGGGAAAGATGGAGGGCACAAGGAGAAGGGGATGACAGAGGACGAGATGGTTGGACAGTGTTCTCGAAGCTACGAACATGAGTTTGACCAAACTGCGGGAGGCAGTGGAAGACAGGAGTGCCTGGTGTGCTATGGTCCATGAGGTTACGAAGATTTGGATGTGACTAAACAACTAAACAACAACAACGTGTCTGTATAGACCGATACAGGA